CTATGATGCAGTTTACTTGACATCTGAAAATACGTTTCCTCAAAGGTATTTTTAATCTGAAAAGAGCTTCACTGAGTGACAACTAATGTTGAGAGCTCAACAGACAGTTTCAGTTTCACTTTCAGTTTCACCCGAAAGCCTGCAGGAGTCATGGGCGGGGGGTGGGGAGGTGCGCTCAGTGATGAGGAAGTTCAGCTTAAAGACACGTCCCAGGGGAGTTTCTGGTCCCAAAAGGTGTTTCTGGTCCCCACCTGTCGTTTTGCTCCTCAGCATGGCTTCCTAAAAACACTGCAGGATTTCTCAAACATGCATGAATGAGTCAAAGCAAGGCTTTGGGCGTGTTTTTTATGAGAGTATAACTTTATAACATGATATAAAACTCAAAAAAGTTGATTTTACATGATATTGCCCCTTTAATAAATATCCTTTTGCCTGAGCTCTAGATTTTTTACCTGTTCCCTGGATCGATCTTGTCAAAATCACACAAAGCTGGTAGAGACAAACTCTAAAAGTCTTGCAGCTGAAATTGCTGCAAAAGGTGGTTTCACAAAGTATAGATTCATACAAATACACACGCCTTTTAAAATTTTGAGAAACGTGTATCATTTTCTTATTGCTTCACAATTATGAGCTATTTGTGTTGGTGTCTCACATTAGAGCTCAGTAAAAATATGAAGTTCATTGTTTAATGCAACAAATGTGGATATCAAGGGTGATAAATACTTTTTCAAGGCAATGTATATACAAAAATGTACATGTGCACACGAAAGCTAAAATAAAATAATACATACTGAATTTAAATTGTGTTTTTCTTTTTTTCTACAGATTGGAGAAGAAGAATGTCAAAGTGTCAAGAAAAGGACCATGCCCTGCATAACTAAGTGGAAAAACAGACACAGAGACACTTTTCTCTGTGCACCAGTCATAAATTGACTTCCTTAATTTGGCCATCTTAATAAACCACATGCTGCAATTTGTTTCCTGTATCATTTTGAATTCTCAACCTCATGGGTTATGTATGCATTCTTAAAATGGATCAAGAAATACAGTATTAGTGATACCCATGAGATAAACACACATGTGTGTGACACATTCAGCGGGTAAAATAAGTATTGAACACGTCACCATTTTTCTCAGTAAATATATTACTAGAGGTGCTAATGACATGAAATTTTCACCAGATGTTGGTAAC